ACATCAGTGAAGTAACTAATCTAGATATAGTGTTTTTTTTTAAAATTTACCTCTTTAGATATGATCTCTTCATCTTCAGTTTGTTCTTTATTGGCTTCTTTATTTTCTTCTCTTTCTTCTTTGTCTTCATCAACTATCATGATTCGTGGAATCACCTTCCCGAGCCCAAACCCCAGCTTCCTCTCGTCTTTTATTCTCCTTTCAATTCTTTCTTTGCTCCAGGTTCTGATTGTTGAATAAAGAGTATCCAAAACCTGACCTTTAAATTGCACTCTATCGAAGTAGCAAATCATCAGAAACAACAACGGTCCAGTGAACATTCTTGTTGGTTGAGCTTGCCATTCTTCTCCAGCATCCATTAATGATCGTCTTGTATACTTGCACCAGTTCAAGTTCTTGATTTCATGAACTTTTATCAGTGAGAACAATATCTTGAAGTTGCTTTTTATACTCTGATTGCCTCTGATCAGGCATGAAACTGTGAACACCACAAAATTTCTCTTAAAAACATCTCCACAATCATCATCATGAATGATTTTTTGTATCATTTTTGTTGTCTCTGGGCTTCCCTTTTCAATTCCCCAATACTCTCTCCAGTGCTCCAGCAATTCAATGTACTCTTCACTTTCGTTTTTGCCATTTGCTTCTTCAACATCTATCTTTCTCATAGGCAAACCGAAAACAGCTCTATCATCTTTGTCTTCAATATCCAACAACTCGCCATTTGTGAGTTGTAGTTGTGCTGATATTGGTCGCAAGTTTTGCAATAGGAATTGTACAAAGTCTCCATAAAATCTGTCAAAACTTAGGTTCAACAGACCTCCAAAGCCAATCTCTTCAATTGCCGCTCTTTTATTTTCATCCAGTAGTTTAATCAACTTGATAAATGGAGCTGGTCCTACTCTGGTTCTTAAGTTGACAGCAGTGTTTCCATCTATTTGTTCATCATTCTTTTCGGATTCTTCATGTGATATTACATCTGTTTTTCTTTTTCTGGTTGTAGTTGGCTTGTCATAAGTCAACAGTTGCAATGGTTCTTGACTATGTATTGATACACAATCTTCCATTTTTAAATTTTCATTCTCTTCTGTTACATTGCTTCTTGTATTCCTAATATTATACAGAATAACATTCACAAGTCATAATCAATTTAAGCTAACATTATTAATTTATATAACTCATAGCAGCATTTACATAATATTATACATTAGTTGACAATAACTTAGACAATAACACTGGTTAGTAAACAATTGATTGAATAGCAGGTTCTTTTCAAATTACATCTGAATTCAACAGCAATTACATCTCAAATAAACCGCAGTTACATATCAAATTAACAACATTTACATTTCAATAAACAAAAGTTACATATCAGGTTAACATCAATTACATCTCAAATAACAGAAGTTACATCTCAACTTAATAACACAGAATATTATACAGAATAACATTCACAAGTCATAATATTATATAGAATAACATTCACAAGTCATAATTATACAGCTGTTTCCATTTCAAAATTCTCATTCTCTTCTGTTGCATTCCTTCTTGTATTCCTAATATTATACAGAATAACATTTATATTATACACCTGTTTCCATTTTAAAATTCTCATTTTGTTCTGTTGCATTGCTTCTTGTATTCCTAATATTATACAGAATAACATTCACAAGTCATAATCAATTTAAGCTAACATTATTAATTTATATAACTCATAGCAGCATTTACATAATATTATACATTAGTTACATAATTTATAACTCAAAGTTACATGTTATGCCCTTGGATGTGATTCAGTTCTATATTTCAAAAGTTACACAAGTCCTCACAACAGTTGCATATTAATATTCTTATGTTACATCTATTTTATTTGTAGTTACATGTTACACGCCAGCTGTTAAATAATTAATTTTGGGCTGTATAGTCGCAGTCATTGGATAAATACAATTGTAAAATTCAATTTTAAAATGACCAATTTTGATAAGTTACATAATATTATACACTTGTTTCATAAGTTATATCCCAAATTTACATGTAACTAAGAATTGACATAAGTTACATATTAATATACTTATGTTACATAAATTCTATATGTACTTACATAAGTTACACAAGTTGTTCAATAATCAAATATGGCTCCAATACTTGCAAATAAATAGCAAGTGACAGAGTGTAGATAATGCTTACAGAACTGAACATGTAATTTGTCCTCTAGCAATGTTACATTTTATCATACAGAAGTTACATAATAACTCAATGAAGTTACACCATACACAAGCACTTCGAAGAATGTTCTCTTGACAACATTTTTTATCAAATAATACCTTATAGATTGTATATACTTGTTAACTTAAGTAAACATCCGGGATTTTGACTTTTTAAATACAGTCAGATGTGGATTATGAATCAAAAATTACTTTGCTTGTATTTACATGTAAACAACACATTTCAGGGCATAATACACATGTTTTCATAACAAAAAAACAATCGCATTGAGTACTATTTGAGTCTATGTTATAGCTTATACCTGACAGCCGATTTTTCCTTAACCCTAACCATTTTGGTTGTACTTGGTGCTGAACTTGATCCTCAAGTTGCTCCGGTGACAGCCTTTACTTAATCTCTTGTCTTCTTTGCAGAGATTTGTTTCAAAAAAAAAACTTCGTCGAACTTGCTTGATTCAGAAGAAATGTAGAGCGAGATTTTTTCAGAAAGTAGACTTTTGGATTTCGAACTTCGAAGAGGCGTAAATGTAAAACATCGGGAGTTGAGAGCATAACCGCTGGAGGGAAAAGGTGGGAGAAAGGATCCGTTGGTTTGTGTGCACGTTTTTTTAATGTAATGCTACGTCGTTTTGCCGCGGGAGTAGGATGCTCAATATGGGCCGCTCCCACGGTATACGAACTGCGAACTACGGTTCTCATTTAACAATAACAATTTCCATTTCGATATTCCAAAAAGGTCTAATCATCAACTCAATGCGAACCGTACCAGAGTTCCAGTTCAGCAAACAGCAGCTGGAACTTTCACATAGCCGCTACGGATTTTGGTCTTTCATCGATGTTCCAACTTTCTCACCGCTCAACCAATTAAGCTACATGTGGGTAACAACTTTTATTTCTATAGATACATTCAATGAGCATTTTCTAACTATGTTAACAATTTCAAGGAGGACTCTTTTATTGTTTACATTGAATCAGTGTTTTATTTCTAATATTTCGTATTAAGCAAGATACATCTTTAATGGTCTGAAATTATATATCATGTCGACGTGAGTTACAATTCTTTACACGAGAGTTACATTCTCCTGCTACTAGACAATGAAAAAATAAGGAATATTATCAATTCAGGACCCGAAAGATAGATGAATTATCGATTTGGGACCTGAAAGATGATATGTATCGGTATAGGACCCGAATGATGGAAAACTATCAATCTAGTACCTAATATTTCATAGTTTATGATTTATTTAATTTTTTATTAATTACATTGCTAGTTTTTGATAAACTTGTCTTTACAAAACTTTATTAGTTTATTAAAACTAAATGATACTCCTATAATGACAGTTTTTCATCATTTAGGTCTATATGAGGAGTATTTAAAATTTTCAAAATAAAAAATTTAATAAAATTCATGACAACTTAGGCCCTAGATCGATAATTTTAAATCATTCAAATCCTATAATGATAGTTTTTCATCATTTAGGTCTATATTGATACATTTATCTTTTAGGTCCCGGATTGATAATCCATTTATTTTTCGGGTCCTGAATTGATAAAATTCCAAAAAAATAAAACAAAAATTATTATTCAACCGTGTGAACTAGGGGTGAGCATGGGACGGTACGGGACGGTTATTTCGAAAAACCTGTCCCGTCCCAAAGTACGGTTCTTTTAAAAATCAAGAATCGGTACCGTCCTGCGTATATGTAGAACCTATCCCGTTCCGTACCAATTTTCGGTACGGTCCGGTACGGTTCGGTACGGTTCTTAAATAACTAAAGAACCCCCATGAAATATAAAAAACTTTAGATTTTAACATTTATAAATAACTCTACAAAAATTGAAGAGATGAACTTGCAAGATTATATTAAACTGATATTGTGTGATCAAATTGAAATATGAAACTAATAGTCAAACTATATTAAAGAAAAGTAACATCTAAACTAAAATGCAAAAGTGATCGTCAAACTGAAAAACCAAAAAGTATCACATCACATGACAAAAATAATCAACTTAATAATCCATATTTGAGCTAGACTAAATCTGACAGAATTATAGGCAATGACATCAACAATCAATATTAAGCTTTGGCATCAGGGCCTCAACAATGCCGATTAGGTTTAAGAGTTGTTGTTCTATTTAAGTGGCATTAGACCATTAGCATTGTTTTTGTTTTAATAATTGGATTGAGCCCAAAGAAGATGTAAGAGTAATATACAGACAATTATACTCGGTATATAATATATTATACATATTATTATATTATACTACCTCCGTTCCTATTATAACTTCTAAATTGGTTTGACACACAATTTAAGATAGTGGGTATTGTGTGGTGGAGAGTTGCGCAGAGGAGAGAGAAATGTTGTGAACCACAAATTCTTTACCAAAAAGGGAAAGTGGAAGTTTTAATTGGAACGGACGGAAAAGGAAAGTTGGAAGTTATAATAGGAACGGAAGGAGTATATAATACGAAGTATATTATTATATTATAACACTAGTTTTCGAGACAATTTGGGACGGTACGAGACGGTCCGGTTCGGTACGGTTCCGGGACGGTTCCGGTACGGTTTTCACTAAGAACCGGTATCGTACCATATTATTAAAAAAGCTCGGTACAGTACGGTATTACATTTTTCCGGTTCTATCTATTCTTGAACAGGACGGTTCTTGTATACGGAAAGGGAATCCCGGGATCCGTGCTCAGCCCTAGCTTTGAACATCGTTTTTATCGAGTATACAAAGTTACAAACGGTTACCAGAAGGATAATACTCCGTATTTTTTGGCAAGGATCAATGGCGGCCAGGTCTCTCTCTATACACTCCATTCGGCCTTGTCCCTTTCTGTGGCCCTACAAAAAATCAATACGAGTAAAAAACATCTAATGCTTATCCATATGCCTCTCTATATGAGTCATATCGTACAAATTCTCCTTTATACGATCGATGACAGATTATCCTAAATCCTACTGCGTTTCATGAGCGAATAAAAAATGCTGAGATCAGTTGTTTTGAACCCTCATCCGCCATTGCCGTCTTATTTAACAGCTTTTTCTGAAGATGTGAATAAAAGCAACGGCTCGAGAACAGCCAGAAATCCGTCGACAATCCGATGTGTTTCTCGAAGCAGCGGTCCGATACCGAAGCTCGAGCCTTTTAGCAGGAGCAAGTTCGACAGAATCGTTAAAGACCCCTCTCTCATTCAGAAGTGCGAAAGCGAAATCGCCGGTGCGACAGAATGACAGATTATATAATTTTTGGGTATATTCTTTGAATTTTCTCGTTGTTCGGGTTTGTGTAGGGAACTGAGTTTGTATTTTTTGTTATTTTGTAATCTTCAGATCATTGTTCTGTTCTTGAGGGGGATGCTTCCTATAGCTGCTGGAGGGCCTATTTTGAACTTAAGGATCTTGAAGTAAGCCAGTACCCCTTTTTTGTCTCAAAAAAAGTTTAAACAAAAATTTTCTTGCTTGTCTACTAAAAGCCAAGGGTAGATTTTTCATAAACTTAAGGCCTAATTAGTTTGGAATTGTTATAGACACGCCTAATGAGACTTGATCTTATGAGACCACCCACACCGTTTTTACTTTTCCAATTTTAACACCTAATAAAAAGTTTTCAAAGTCGAATAAGGCAGATGTCATATATTTTAATAATAAAATAAAGAAAAAACTTATCCTTATGTCCCATTATAATTGTTTCATTTTCTTTTTTTGTCACTCACATTAAATTTGTCTCATATCATATTTGGTAAGTGGTAATATTTGTGAGCACCATAATTCCTTCTTACTTTATTTTCACTTTATCAATTCATTACCAATCATATAATTCTACTTTTCTTAAAAATTGGACCACCCTCCTTTGTTTCAATCTTCTTAGAGACAGAGGTAGTATATGAAAAATATACTCCCTCTGTCTCTTAAAATTTGTTCAAGTTTGACTGTCACGGAGAATAATAAAGTAAAAACGGTGTGGTTTGTGCTGAGGAGAGAGAGAAATAACAGGAACCGCAAATTACTTGATTTAAAGGGAAAGTGGTAAGTTTTTGGTACATCTCAAAAAGGAAGATGGCAAAATTTTAAGCGTAGGAGGGAGTAGATAAAATAGTCTTCCTCAACAATTTTAGCCATAAAAATACATTCAAGAGTGCATAAGAGAGAGAAATGAATATCGTCTTGAATTACATTGAATCTTTTGTATTCTCATAAGTTCCGTTGTCCCCCTCACTTCTTACTTAATGGTTAGGTCCTAATTTTACATTGGAGCTCAAATAGTAACCATAAATTCACTGCTTAAAAAGAAAAGTGACAACGTTTTTTGGACAAACAAAAAATAAAGTTGATAAAGTCGGGTGGGACGAAGAGAGTATTTACTTATTTTTCACATTTCTACAGCTTATCCTTAATTTCATTAATATCAATTTCGGGTCCACTTGATTCATCAATATCAGCCAAGTTAAGTGTTATCCAATAGTCTCCTAAATACTCTATAATAAGTTACACATAAATAACAAAACAAAATAAACGAAGGTAAACCTGATTTAAATAGACAAGATGAAAACATAGCAAATCTTTAGCCCAAGTTAAATGAAAATCAAGAACTATATCGTGGCTCTTGGTTCAGGAGTCTTTAAAAGAATGTTATAAACAAGTGTAGTATAACTCTATAAATTTAGTTAAAAGAAAAGGGCAGCCTTGCGCACGAAACCTGCAAGTCCACCAGGGGCGGACCCAGGAAATTCATCTTGGGGTTCAAAATATTTTTTTTGGGGTGAACATTATTTTTTGATGGGGTGAAAATTACTTTTCGTATATATACACTATTTTTTTTGTTGCGGGGGCGGTAGCCCCCTGGGTCTCTACTACGGTCCGCTCCTGAAGTCCACATACCAACACCTTAAGCGGTTAAAATAAGTTCAACTCTATAAAATAAATTTAGTTAAAATAAGTTTTAAAAATGTACTCCCTTCAATAATCCCATGTTTAGATTCCGACCTCTTATCACTTCTTACTCATTGTAATACATTTGAGAAGACTTTGACCCCTATTTAAGACATAGTTTCTTGGATTGAATTTTGTTGCTCTTGGTGCGGTCCATGTTTAGGTCCGGTCTAATTTGACATTTGGTTTAAGTGGTTTGGTTTGGTTTGGTTTGGTAACTTTTGTTACTCATTACTTACTCCGTATTATGTGATGCTGGTCTGGTTTGATTTGTTTGAATCTTATCAATTTACTATTTAGTCTCTTTTAACTTTGGTCGGATTTTAGACTCAAATAAGTTCAAGAAAAGTCCTTATTTATAAGGGAAGAATGCTTATTGTCAAGTGGGTTCTTGTTATAAAACTTTCACACTATGAGCTTATTATAATATTGGGTAAGATATATCCATATTATATGCTAGTATATACTAATGATCACTTGTGGGCATTTGATATACTCGTACTAAAAAAGCTACGTAGTATATGAGAGTAATTACGATTCCCTTTCAAGAATAGTACGTACTTTCTTAAAACAAAAAAAAACATGAACCTGAACACGTTTTGTGTTTGGCTTGGGGAGGATACAGAAAACTCTTAGGGTATGTTTGGAAGTTTGGAGGGAAGGGAAGGGGAGGGGAAGACTTTGTAGGTAAGTTGTTGGAGGGGAAAGGAGGGTGAGGAAGCCCTTCTTTGTATTTGAGAGTAATAAATTTGGAAGAATAGAGTTTTTGAATGAATTATAATTAAAATCACTTTTAGATATGATGAATTCAAATAATTGAACTGATATTTATTTTTAATTGAGATTAAATTACCATTTCGTAATACTTCAAAACCCTCCGAATTGGAGGGAACTCAAAAATTGAGCATTTAGAAGGTTTTGGAGGGTCACCAAAGTCCCCCCAAAACCATCCCCTCCAATTTTATTAACTTTCAAACATGAATAGGAGGTTCATAAACTCCATCAACCTTCCCTGCCCTCCAAAACTCAACTCTCAAATACACCCTTAGGGGGTGTTTGGAACTGATTCTGATTCTGTTTCTTTTTTAAAGCAGAAGCAGAATCAGTTTTCAGAAGTTGGTCATCCCCAGCTTCTAAAAAAACTGATTCTATGAATAAATTAGAGCACCAGAATCACTTCTACACTTTTACCCAAACACTCCAACTTCTCCTTCTGCTCCCTGAAGGAGCAGAAGCAGTTTTAAGAATCAAATCCAAACACCCCCTTAGTTGTACTCCCTCCAAAACTGAACTCTCAAATCCACCCTTAGTTGTACTAGGTTTAAACAGTAGCAGGATGGGCCAAATATGAAAAATGAAAAAATTTACACAAAAAATTGAAAATAATTAAGTTGCTCTGTGCTTCAGCACACCACAACCCTAGTGTAGATCCTTTTAAAAGTTAGCGAGGATGTACCGTATATATGATGTTAATTTAACATCATTTTAAGAATTCTTATTCAAGAAAGATCCAAGTTGTTTGAAGTTCCATAATCAAATCTATAAATAGCTTTCAAGTCTTTCTCAAGAATCAAGATAAATGGTTGTGTTTTGTAATGGATCAGAAAGAAGAAGCTAAGGAGGATGTGGAGAGGCTAATCCTGCGAGCGGGTGGAGTGAAATCCCTGATTGGATGCTTGCATGGAATCGCAGCCATGCAGAAACCCGTGAAAGGAAGGCCTGAAGCCGAAAAGCCTACAAACAGTGTAAAGAAAGGAGAGGAGAGGTTATGCCCTGTGCCTGATGGGTTGCCCAAGTCAAGAGAAGAAATTGAAGAAGAAGAGAGAGCTTTGATGCCAGATTCAGCCTTCACCAGATTACTGAGGAGTAAAGGGAGAGCCCCTGCATGGTACTCTCGCGCTCCAGATCACCAAACTGATTGATAATTTGATATACCTATCTTTATAAGGGTAGTGGACTAGTGGTAGTCATTGACTCGTAGTGTTAGTAGTACTGAGCAGTGAGAAACTATTAACCAAGTATGGTTTGAATTAGTAAATAAATAAAAATGGTTTGATGAGTACTTTTAGTATTGCGTCCTAAGATTGTTAGGCATTAGCTTGTCCACGATGTTTTTACTTGGTTTTTTTTAATCCCAGATTAGACCAGACCAGACTTAAACAGACCAGACTGAAACAGACCAAACCAGACTTAAACAGACCAGACTGAAACAGACCAAACCAGGCTAGGCTTAAACCGACCAGACCAGACTTGACTTTCGTAGTTATAAAATACACAGAGACCAGGCGTTTACCAGACCATATCAGACCTGACTTAGGCTCCGCTTGTTTCTTGGCGGTTTCACGCCAAAACCCTGCAAAAAGCAGCGTTTCCCTTTGTAAAAAATTGGCGGTTTGACCTAAACTGCCGATATCCAAACAGGTCCTTAAACAGACCAGAACAACAAATTAAACTTATTGTTGAAACTTGAAAGTGTTTGGTAAAACTATGTAAGTTTGTAAATAGTTAAGGTAAAGATAAATGGCGCATAAGGACATGTCTTCATTTATGCAAAATAATCTATTATATACATAGGGGAGGGTAGTGAGAACCCCTCTTAAAATGAGAATTTTTAATCTCCGTCATTCATTTATAGAATCAATGGATAATAATGATAAGGTGCCATTTTTGTAATTATTTAGCATTAATTGCAAAAAAGGCCCCATTTGAATTTGGGGTAATTATGAATATGACCCCATGTGAATCATCACCAATGATTGCAATAAATGAAAGGATGAGATTAAAAGTTCTCATTATAAGAAGTTCTTATTTTATGAAGTGTTCTCACTAGAACTCCCCTATATATATTTGTTATAATGCTTATTTCAGAAGAAAAATTGTCTCAAATTAGGATGTTTTAATACTGCTAAAATTTTCTAGCCCCATCTGGTTTGTGTATTTTAAAACTTTTTAAAATTGTTGAAGTTTGGTCTGATCTGTTTAAGTCCATTTTGGTTTGGTCTATTCTGGGATTAAAACGAGTCCAAGTAAAGTCATTTGTATTGTTACTATAAAAAAATAAATACCCCTACGTTGGACAGTTGTAGGTACGGATGTCCTTGGTCCTGAATCAAATTTCTCGATTGCAAATAACCAGACTGCCATTTCTCGATTGCAAATTTTTGAGAACCGGAATCGCATAGTACGAGTTCGTAAACGTTTATGTGGTTCGGTATCTTTATACATATTAATGGTTCAATAGTATTTATTTATGTGGTCTATGTCTTCGTGATTGATGGTTAAGTATGATTTTTGATGATTATTTTTGTGATGCATCAGACAACTTTGATCTTTGTGACGACTTTTTCTTTTAAGACGATTTTCTAGGACATGCAACCGAAAGTGATCGTCGTTCCCCTTTATCAAGCCAGGATGAAATTAGGAACTCTAAATTCAATAGAACGATTTGCTTGTCAACAGAAAACCTAAACACACAACTAAAAATCTACACGGAATCTCAAAAGAATAAAATGTGTCATAGCATGAGGATCAAATCACAGTCCAGAAATTTCCCTTGGAGGTTAGTTTTAACTTTTCTTTTCCTAGTATTTTATGTACTTTTTTCTTTATCTTCTCGCACTGTAATTTTTACTTTATGAATAAAACTGTTTGTAAAACGTGTGTCAAAATGATCAATATAGTGTATTAGAGCATCCGTAGTGAGGGTATGGATTGATTAAAAATGAATTGCCACGTACGATAAAGAGACCGTGAGGTTAGTTGCTCGAGCGGGAATGTCTAAAGAGTCTGTGGTGCTGAGTTGGAATTTTAAAAAACGCACGCCCTCGACTCCTCCTCCTATTTTCAGCATGCGTGATCAACACTCACTCAGCAACTCGGCAGTTTTGATTCTAAAAGAATTGTGCAGCGTGCTTTGTGCTTATGACATAAATAAACAATCAAAATAGATCATCCTTTACATGCACCGACCTCATATAACTACAGCCCGGGTGAATACTGAAGAGTCACCGCTGATACTGAAGGAATTATCTCCAGAATCAACGTCTATGAAGTGCCGCCGTCGGCGGCGACGACGTCCACACGCAGAATTTTATATATATATATATATATATAGTAGTCGGTCAGGATTTCCTGACTCGAACCGCCGTCCAGATGACGGCTTTTGGGGCCCTTTCCGGTGGAGTTTTTTGATGAAATTTTTATAGCATGTTATTCATCAAGTCTAGTTTATCCACAAACAAAATCAGCTAAATATTCTGTTGGAAAAATATGTTAAAAATTGCATTAAATGGCCATTTTGGGGCAATTATTTGAGTGGGGTCCACTTCCGATTTGGGTCGGGTCAAAGTGGTTTCGGATTGTCCTTGTTAAGGGCTACAATTCGATATGTGGTACACTCAAAACGGATAACGGATGAATGAGAAATTGATTCTCGAAGTTCACTCGTTGAAATGGAAAAACTGTGAAAATGATGGGTTTCTAGTGTGTTTTATCCCACACCGGAAAACTCAAGGGATTTTCACCCCCTTATAAAGGGAAACCTCTTTTAAGGAGTTAAGATTCCTAAGGGTAAAGGCTCTCTCTTACGCGTAGGGGGGGGGGGGGTGCCGATCAAATCCCGAAACGGAGAAGAAAAACCGCGACTCGTGTGCGCGGGCGACCTGCGGGCACGAATGTCGTCCGAAAATCTATCACTCAAAGATACGATCTAATTTTTGTTTTTTCCCAGTGACAGAAGGGGTGGAGTTCTGTCCGCAACAGAAACCCTCGAGGTCTTCTGTTCGCAACAGAAGGTCTTCTGGTCCGTTACACCATTAAATGGATAGTTTATGGACGATTCAATGCCCAACGGACTGCTCATTGATGTCCAACGTTCAGGTCCATTAACACCCCATTTAACACACAACAAATCCTCCTATAAATAGCTGGCAGGTGGTTTGCAACAACACACAATACATTCCTCACGTTTTCTCCAGTCATTTTATTTTATTAATTTATTTTAATTAATTTCTTTTATTTTCCGAAACACAGCCAACATATTCAATCGGGAAGACCGTCAAATGATTTTTGAAAGATAACTGCGCCGGAATATACATATAAAACGCAGTTAATGTCCAAAAATTATTTGACAGCTTTCCCGATTGAATTTTTACCTGATTTTTTTGTGGATAAACTAGACTTGATGAAGAACATGTCATAAAAATTTCATCAAAAAAATCCACCAGGAAGGCGGCCAAACGCCGCCGTTCGGACGGCGGTTCCTGTCCGGAATTCCGAACGGCGGTTAATGTCCGGAATTCCAGACAGAAATATTTCTCTCTCTATATATATATGAAATAATGAAATAACCCTTGAATTGATGATTTGCCGCTACTACTCAATCTCTGGGAGTCTTTGCTAACTCCGATCGGCAGCGGCACCCACATATACCTGCGGTTGTCAAACTATGCCTTTAATTAATTGGAGAAGAAAATAATATAACGAGTACTCTGTAAGAGTTGTGATTCGTACTAAATAAAGCCTCAAAAGGTTTTAATCGTGTGATGTGGCATACACATAGTAAACCCAATTATTTAAACGGATGGTTGCATTGGAGTGTAAATAATATTCTAATTGTCTATGTGTCCACCTCATCATGATAGACCTTCTATTAAAGTGATATGTCCATTTTTTATGAGCTACGATCCACATCATTGTTAAAGATGCTCTTATATGACTACGTAATGACACGTCTACATGTAATTAATTATTTAGCACACGATGGAGGAAAATGACATTTTATTTTCATCATTTGGATATAACTTTACAATATTTTTGTTTCAAGTGACAATACCCTTTAGAAAATGTTGGACCATTTCAATTGAATCGTGAAGATTTGGGATTGTCATAAAAGAGCTTACTACTTTATATGTAGTTATGTACTTATGTATGTTTGGTACCTCAAATTTAGACGGTGCGTGAGAAATATTCAACATATCTACTTGTTCTCATAGCATGAAATTTCATTTTGAGTGTGCAACATTTTTGTGTCAGGGCACATAATTTCACAACCCAAAATTTTTGTATGTAAGAGTTTCCTTTTTTCATAAAGAGCTCAAGGAAGGCTGCATATAAAGTTAATCTCATATTGTAGAACTAAAAATTTGTTTTTGAAATGGTCAACATGATATAAGGGATATGATATACGAACGAGACCTTTCCACATTCATCAGTCTCCCATGTCGAGATGGCTGTAAAGAGTTGTTGGTTTCAAATAAGGCGCTCTTAGACCTTAGTGAGATAGCGACTCAAGTTCCGAGCAAAATATACTTTATATATATATATATATATATATATATATATATATATATATAGAGAGAGAGAGAGAGAGAGAGATGTAGAAGTGTATTATTCTGTTAAAAAATGACATGAATTAGGATTAGAGTGCATGAGGGTGCAAGGTAAGGAGGTCGTATTTGTCTTATCTAGGTTTAAGAGTGTTAATTGTGCTATCAAGCACTTGACTTTAGCGCTTAAGTGATACAAGACTACTTAGGATATTTTTACTTGGACCGTAATTCGTCCCAGACCAAACCAGATCAGACCAGATCAGACCAGACCAGACCAGACTTGGATAGTTATAAAAATACAAAGAAACCAGACCATTTCAGACCAGACCAGGCCAAACCAGCAAATTACAGTCCAAGTAAAAACATCATTATAGAGCTTGTCTTATAGACCTTAAATGGTATAAGGCTATTTATAGAACTTGTCTTAAGACATTTATTATAGAGCTTAATTGAATAATATGAGACTATCAAATACTTGTCTAATCTAGGTTTAATCAAGCTAACATGTCTCTTGCATGGCTCGTACAATATTGGAAGATTATGTCTATGGGTAAATAAGGTAGGACTCTTGAAAATATATTGCTCTTGGTGAGGAGTTCTGAACATGTGCGAGGACAGGAGGTCGAACTTAATAAGAACTAGGTAAACCATATTGGTGTTGAGTATCTAGTTTAGTCTAGTGATGATTCTATATTGTGTCTGATGTACACGTCAGATAGTATTCCCAAGCTTCTGCACG